TTGGTTATAGAGACTGCCAGTCTCCATTTCAGGAAACAAGAAAGGACTTACTTGTGGATCCTGGGAGTGTGGCAAGGAATGACTCTGGTGGAGGGTCACAAGGTATATGCGATCCTCCTCACTCTGGGTATGTGGAGTGTGGGATTGGCGTGGTTGCGATCAGACGATCGTAGCAGAGAGTCAGTGCGGTGCTGAAAGGGCTGTTGCCACTCGTGCGGACCAATCGGCCCTGGGCGGCGGAGAGGTTGCTTGGTGCGGTTAGATGGAGTCAGAGGGCCGTGGGTCTGGTGGAAATAAGTGACATCCGAGCCGTGTGACAGCAGGCCGAGGAGTCCGGGCGGTGGACGGTCAAAAGGAACGGTGATTAAAAGGTGTGGGAAAGACAGGGGAGCAAAGAGCAACGCGTTTCAAACTCAAAAAAAAAAAAGGCATGCGATCCCTGCCAGGGGCCCCTATCAGCCAGGTTCTGCAGCACTGAACAGGGGTCAGCTCCCCTATAGGTTGACTACAGGCACCTGTACACCAGCATAATGTTTTGTAGGTCCCTGTGCAAAAAGCAGGGATGCAAACCGATTACACCAAAGTCTGCTTCCGTGGTTAGCTTGGTCAGTAAAGGAAGCCCTGCAGTAAAGAGCGAACTGGCTCAATCACCTGGTATTTAGGTGGGTGGGGGGTTTACATTAGACATGCATTATTTCAACAGTAGGAGGGCAGAGAAATGTTGTGATAAAGTTCGCAAGTAATTGATGAATGATGGAGGTTGTTCAGACAGGAAATAAAGATCGGCTCAATACAGCAAGTTTACAGGGAATGTAGAGTATTTTGTTTTAACACAGGAGAGCGATTGACCGGTCAAGTTCTCCCTATGGATTGTCTGTTCTAACTGTGCTATCTCTTCTTCAAAGCTTCTGCTTTACTTAAGAGAACTATGGAGTAACCTTTTTATCCCATAGTTCTCTTTAGGGTCACGGGAAGACATATACCAACATCCTTCTGTGACTCAAAGCTCAGTATTGGTGTATTGCTCGCTATATACTGAGAGCGCCGCAGCCAGGAGGGCTTATTGCTAGCGGGCTCTGCCTATCTAGAGGCCGAGCCAGCAGTGCCCGCCCCCTCCCCTGCAAGTTCCTCCAGTCAGTGCTGGAGGATCGGAGAGGGGAATCCCTGCGAGGAGCCATGACTGACCGTCACTGCTCTCTGCAGGGAGATGATCAGTAAGTGAGCAAGCGACGGTATGTTAAATCACTCGCTTCCCGATCAATAGAGCCGACGTGTGACAGCTTCTTTGTTACACGTCGGCTCCAACTATGGAGATCACTCACCTCATAGTTCTCCTTTAATATCACATGATCCTAAAATGGGAAATCCAGTGCAGAGCACGGGTGTCCCCATACCCGCTACCAGACTTCACTGAACCCAGGAACATTGTGGAGCTCAATAAGACAGGAGCCTGACAACTGCTCCATTGAGCTCTCTGCAGATAAATCGGGGCTCAGTGTCCGATTTATAAAACAGGAAAGAAAAACCGTCAGTGTTACATAAAAGGAGAAAACACAGACCTTTTTTTTGTTTTGTTTTACATTCCATAAACCTGCCCAATTGTAATAGAAGGAAAGCTGATCACACGAGTGGCTTGGTGGGTGCTGTAAAGTCTCCATCAGGGCCTGTACACACTTGTCTGTTTTCTGCAGTAAAACACATACATAAAAATGCATTCCGAGTGCAAATCCCAGACCTATCCCGAATGATATTGCCCGACATTGCATAATGCATGAGTTAGCAAGAAGGAAAAAAAAAAAAAAAGGAAGGGGGGGCATTTAAAAAGAACATAAAAAAAAGTACTATGCAATGCGTGGGCAAAGCATATAAATGGCAGTTAATAATAAGTATAAGAGGAAGTCCATTATAAGAACTAGGGCCCATTCCCCCCAGTCTGACTAGTTGCGGTGCATTTAATGCATGCTGGGAGATCCATGCATTGCATTTTAGAATGAATATTTTGGCCAGGGTATTGTGCTATTCATCTATAGCGGCATCTTTAGCTTGAGACTGCCGCCGTCAATAACCACTCGTGCTATCAAATGTCGCTGTTGGAGTTCATGTCACTTTATCTATAGCTGCACAGACACAGACTATATAAAGCTACAGCAACTTTGAAACTGGCAACAAATACCTACTACGCAAGTTTTAAATTCTGTGCCCTCGCTTTATTTCCCAACTGCAGTTAAAGCAATACAGCTTGGTCAAGGACCCTCCTTAACCAGCGATAGGCTGCTGCTCCTATACTATCCTATCGGTGAGGTCATCTCTGTGCTCCACCCTATCTGAAAGGTCTCGTATTAGAGCGACACTACGGTGCAATGCAGTAGATGCATCCCCTCCCCTTATGTTCTAATAGCTCAGTCTTTATTTATATTGGCTTCTTATAAAGCATATGTTTAAGGACATTTACTGAATGAAAACTGGATTGGACGGGAGTCTTTTAGATATGCCAGTTGCGTCAGAATAGACCATATTGTTGTTATGGGTCATTTACTATTGCTAATTTTAGCAATAGCATGTCTCTGGTGCGAATATGATGCACATTTAAAAAGGTAGGCAGTGACCTGCATGTTATTGCATTCCCAGGGACAACTGTGTGGCCTGGCTAGGTTGGCATCGTGCTCCTCAGGGAATGCAACAACATGCAGATTAGTGCCTACCATTTAAATGTGCATCATAATTTGTTTGCAGACCTTATGGAGAACACCATCTGTCCCTATTCTCCTTCCAGACTGGCCAAAAATATCTGGAGCAGCAAACAAGAAGGAAGAAGTCACTGCTGCCAAGCTCCCAAGATGTGCTGGTGTCTGTGTCGGCAAGTGCCAGACAAACGGAACTTGTCCACGTTCCCAATAAAGCCCAATTGTAAAAGGCCGGCCTGATGAAGGCAGTATTTAGTGGTTAAAACGTTATTGCTCCGGACGTGAACACAGAAGCCTAGCCCGGGACCTCCCAACTCTACCTTTTTGACGGGAAGGCTGGCAGGGGCCCAAAGAGTAACAGCATCTTATTATTGGGACTGCAAAAATTGGGTATTCTGAATGTCCCATTGCACACCAGACCGGAATCCCAATAAACGTACTTCGCTGGGTGCTGAAATGACCTGTGGGTGGCGCCGCGTGCATGAAGGTATGTAGGAATTACTCGCCAGCATGCTGGTGACTAATTGCTACATACATAAATTGGGTGTCACGAAAACCTAAGAGCATCTATAACAGACGCATTAGAAAAGCAAGGTCCACATCATACTACATCACCATTCCCCAATTTGCCTTTCTTTTATAGTAAAAAAAAAAAACAAACAAAAAAAAAAACCACACATACATTCCCCACATATACGATACGAACATCTTACAAAAGGGCCGCCATGACACTCAGGAGCGGATGTATAACACTAAAGCAGAGAAGCCTGGAGAAAAATGTCAAAGTTACTCAAAGCAACCAACCAGATGACTTGTTTCATGTCCTCGGAGAATGAAGATGTCACATGATTTGTGGCCAGTGGCCGCTGCTTCCCCACCACACTCCAGTCTCTGTATATCTGCCTCTGCTTCAGACGTGCCTTAGGCTGCTCATGATGGACTTGAGGAAATTAAGCGATCCTCTTTATGCCCAAGTTTCTCCTTGCTCCTGACACTGCCATGTTTGCTGGGCAGAATGTCAGTAAGGAGAAAAATATGAAGGCATATAAAAACAAAAGATATTTTAAATGAAAATCATCATTATACGTCTTGCTCATGTACAGTCCTCAGAACAAAATTGGTGTTTTTTTTTTTAAAGCCGATTTTCAAGGAACTGAAAAACTTACCCCTGCAGTGGGGCTCCTCATTGCATTAAAATGATCATTTTTGCCTACGGTACCCGGAAAAAAAGCATTCCTTACTTACCTTATCCCTCACTCTAGCAGGCTCCTCTTTATGCAACGAATCCCTCGAAGCTACTTTTTAGTGGTTCGGCTGGCGGCTGTGACATTGTCATTTACAATGAAGGAGCCACAATCCTGCATTGTAATGGAGGACGCCGAGGGGCCGCCCACAACTTGGAGCACTAGAGAGAAGAGCGAGTGCCGACTATTGGGGAAGTGAGGGATGAGCAAAGTAAAAGTGCCCTTTCCTGGTATCCTAGGCAAAAACAAGCATTTAACCCTTGCTGTTCAGGGGCAAGGGTGGGGGTTTTTTTTTTCAGTTCTCTGGAGTTCAGCTTTAAAGTGACAGAAAACGCAGGATTTAAATCTTAAAAATACATTTAAGTACCCTAACTATTAACAACAATGTATCTTATCTCGTATCACTCAAATCATCTTTGGTGCTGATACTGTCCTTCCTTCTGGAGGGGGGCTACTTTTGTTCCCCATGGTCCATGTGTGTGTTGTAAAGTAGTCACCGCTCCAAGCTCACTCCTGTGATGGACTACAATCTCAATACAAATGAGTAAACTAAATGTGAGATTACAGGAGTGAGCTTGGAGCGGTGGTTACTTTACAACACACATATGGACCATGGGGGAACAAAAGTAGCCCCCCTCCAGAAGGAAGGACAGTGTCAGCACCAATTTAGAGATGATTTGAGGATCTACAGCCGAGTGTTAATAGTTGGGGTGGTTGAATGCGTTTAGTGTCACTGTAAGATGGTGGTCTTAAAGGGTAAAATTAGCCTGGAAATGGCAAGTGATAGTGCAAATCTGAAAAGTTCAAAGCAATGGTCTTCAGCTTTCATCAAGATGCCAATGGCTTGTTGCACACAGGGGCTAACGTATGGAGCCTGGATTGAGTCACTTTTCTATATTTGTGAAATGAAGACTATTAGGTCCTTTTTTTTTTTTTTTTTTTCAAAAACCCCCCAAAAAAACCCAAAACAAGTTGATCACATCTGAATAAAGTTGAACATCCCATGCATCTGTTTAGAGTTTGAAACCAACAAAATGTATAAAATGAATACAGTATGTTAAGCGATCCTTACCTTCCAACCGCTGCCAGCCTCCTTGTAATAGGGGAAATTGTCACATATCCATTGGTAAATCTCACTAAGAGTCATTTTCTTTTTTGGCGAGCTGTTGATTGCAAACGTGATGAGGCTGGCGTAGCTGTAGGGCGGCTTCCCGTCTTTGTGCTGCTGTACTTCCTCCTGGTCCAGTGTGGTGTTGGGGTCGATAAGTGCGCTCTTCTTGGTGATGCTGGATCCATGGGTGCCCTGGGAGGAGTCCGTATTCTGAATGGCAGCCCTCACCGTCAGCTGGGGAAGCCAGTCCATGGAGGTGAGGCTGCTCTCGAGCTCTGAAGTCATTTTTAGCTTTTACTTTGTCGATGGACAGAGTAGACTCTGTGCTTGAGGGAGGGAGGGGGGGAAATAAACCAAATCAAATAGGGGTCCAAGTGCTGTACCTTTAAGATTTCCAAATGAAGGGATGACCGAGATTTAATCTGAAAGAACAGAAGACATGGGTGAGTGCAATTTTGCCTTTAAAGGGGATGTATTATCATGAAATGCATTTTAAAAACCGCCTGTACATAAATGACCTGAATCTTTACATCAGTCTCTTTTAACCCCCATCACAGCAGCAGACGGGGAGAAGTTGGGGCAGCACTATAATGCAATCAGTGATCTATTTATTTTCACAGAAAGGCGGCTCCCAATTACAAAGTAAAGATAAAGCAGCAACGTGCACAGGAGAGGAATTTCTTCCGATGAAACCCCCAAATTCTTTTTTTAGACCATGTTTCATCCATATTCAGGGTGCAACATGCAGCTTGCCGCTGTACATTGAATTCAGCATGGTCGTGCATGGCTCCGACCACAGAGCCGCGTCATCCATTCACGGATCCTTTGCCAGAGGGACTTCTAGTTCTCAAGAGAATACAAGTGCGGTCAGGTCACCGCACTTGTAGTCCATTCAATTCTTCTCCCGTCCATGTTGCTGAATGTCCGTACCTCGACATTCAGCAAAAGAAAACAGCAGTAAGAGCCTGCAGAAGCCAGAGAATTAAATCCGCAAGCTACTGATTGTAGTTGCAATGCTTTACTGGCTATGCAAATAAATTAAATGCACATTTTGTTCTTTATTGCAGAAGTGTGGATTCATCTTTTTCTCAACAAGTGGACTTTTCCTTTCCTGAAATCTGTGCCGTTGTGTAAATCCCAATAGTCTATTGCCCACTCTCCTTGGGCTACCTGAAACCCCAAGATCTGAACTCCACGCCTCTGGACACGCAGGGGTTACAATACTGAATGTACAGGGCCATGTATTCATTTATATAAAAAAAAAAGTCCCTAGGATCCTAAAACAGATACATACAGGGGTGCAAGTACCTAAATTTGACCCCGTAGAAGCCTTTTTTTTAATCACCTGTATAACAGTCACTATGACTAAGCCCATAAATGGGTGAAACACCTCAGTGGGGTGGACCTTGGGCAGTAGTTTGGTAAAGTGCATTGTGGTTAGGGATGCACCAATATTTTTTTTCCGGTACTCGACGATACCAAATAACGATAGTTATTACACGGCGCCCGGCTTCCCGATTGGCCACAAAGCCGCCTCCATGCTTTCTCGTCACCTAGTGACGAGAAGCATGGGGATGGCCTCCCTGCTAATCGGGGAGCTGGGTGGCGAGTCATTACATGCCGCCTGGCTTCCTTAAATGGGACTTCCGGTATCGGTATTTGCGATTACCAAAAAAAATTATCAGTACTCGTAACCGACATACCGGTATCGGTGCATCCCCAACCACAATGCACTTTACCAAACAACCGTGCATTATGATGCTCTGTAGCAAAAAAAAATGCTGCACATCCATTTTTTGGTCTGTTCCTGCTGGTTAGCAGCCCATTTAAAATGAATGGGGTGCCGTGACACAATCTGCATTAAAGCAGAACTCCAGGCACAAATTGTATTAACTCCAGCAGTGGGGCTACGCCTTTAATGCAAGGGGTAACTTACGAAAAACATTATACCTCACCTGACCCTCGGCCAGCCAACTCTTAGACCAGTCCCTTCCTCCTCGCTCCCCATCCACTACAGCAATCCAAGGTCCCCGAGTCATCCCGTTCTATGCACAGTGTATAGGATGTGTGGATGCTGAGGGTAATACCATCGCTGCAGCCTAGGGTGAGAGAGGCAGGAGGGAGTGCTGTGACAGCCGGCCGGGTCTGAGGTTTGGGCAAGTAGAACTTTCTTTTTTGAACCTAGACACAAACAGGCAATTAACCCTTGCAGTGCAGAGGCAGCCCCACTGCAAGGGTTAATAAAATGTGTTCTGCTTTAACATAAATCGCATTAATGCAATGCACAGGAACAGAGAAATGCTAATGAGCCCTTAGGCCTTTTACCTAGAGTTCTGCTTTAAAGAACACAACTCTCTAACGTTCTAACCTCCTAGTACTACCATGCTAACCTGTGGCACAGCATTCACGAACAAGAACACCCAAGCTGTTAAGCCGCATTGTTCCTGAAGGCAGAATTCCCATGTAAAGAATAGATGGCTTTACCTGGTGTGCGATGTTACCAATGTGTTGCTCCTTTCATGTAAACCCATCTGGACAGGAATATGTCTGCTGAAATAAAGAAAAAGACATCACTAAGGATGTGACCACACATAAGAATAGACAATCCAACCTCACCATTCATAAAATGCACGTACCCAGTTTCCCCGAAAATAAGACCTAGTACTATTTTTGGGAATTGCTAAAATATGTGACCTACCCTGAAAATAAGACCTAGTTGTGACCATTCCCAGGGCCGCTGGTGGCATAAGGGGGAACTTGAAGAGCCGCGGGAGAGAATCAGTGGTGCCAGCGATAGAGGAAGCGAGGCGGCAGCGGAGGGAGCAAAGCCGCATAAGCCGATGCCTCCTCTATAGTGCCGGCTCCTGTCACTGGTGGAGTGATACCAAATGCACTCCGCCTGTGAGGAATCGATAGTGAAAGTGCGCTTCGCTCATTCTGGCCAGCGATTGGTTACCAAATTGCTCTTGGAAAGGTTCGGCACCCCTGATTACCATATTTTTGTACATGAATGCATGTAGACTTTTCTACATGAATAAGTGTGGATTGTTGTACATAAAAAATAAAATAAGACCTACCCCAAAAATAAGACCCAGTGTGTTTTTTTGAGCCCAAAAAAATATAAGACAGTGTCTTATTTTCGGGGAAACACGGTAGATTAGAGCAGTATCATTCTGAAGGTGCCCATACACCTGCCCTTGTATGCAATCATCAGAAGACTTTGCTGCCACTTGATCCAAATGTTTTTCAGAATGACAGTAATGTTCAGAGCAGACCTCATCTCTGGAAGGTGCAATCTGTTGAGGAGTGTCTAAACCCAAGAACAAAACTGTACTACAATATTGCCGACAGTCCTTGGATTGGTGGAGGCATTTGTTTCGTTTATTTTGCCTTTTTTTTTTCTAGCTGGTGAATATTCGAGTAACACACTTCCTGTCCTAGGGTGACGACGTTCACTCATACAACTGCATCTATGCAGAAGCATTGCGGTCGCCCTAGGACAGGAAGTGTGTTCGGACTAGGAAACACCTCCCGCCTTCTGCTTTCTAGTCCACAGAGAACTGGGCAGGGCTGATAATAATTCTTGTGATTACACTACAGAGTACACAGGAACTTACAAGCTCATTGGATTTCTGGCAGGATCAACAGATATTTTGTCTTGCACGGATTGAACAGTTCTAACAAAATACTTTCAACAGTATATTTAACAGCACAAAAGGGAGCAAAGAATTCCATTGTTAGCCATGCTCGCTCAGGCGTGCGCATTAGTTGCATGTGCAGCACAGGAAAATGCATGACAAGCTTGCTAATCCCTTGGCAAGCTTAACGCATGCCTTTGCTCATGTGTTGACCCGTGAGAAATGAGCAAAAACATGTGCTCAATAAACGCATTAAGCTCACAGCACTGCATGAGCATCTCTGCCGCGTTTATCGCACACAGGGCAGCCCGCTGAAGTAAATGGGCGAACACACAGCAAGCGCTGCAAAATGCCAACGCGACACACATTCCTGCGTGCCGCAAGTGTGAATGGGGCCTTCGGGTTTACCAACCCTTTACGGATGTAACATTCCAAATCCTTCTTATAGCTAAGCAACTTAAAGGTATCTCCAAATTTTGGATAGTTTTTAATGTACCCGCCGAAAATCGGTTAGTGTATAGGGCTGTCGGCTCCCCTTCAGCCGGTATTCCTCAATCAGCTGATCGAAGGAGCCAGCTGGAAAACCTTCTTGGATCAGAGCCGGCAGCCAATGAGCTGCCGGCTCTGATCGGGTATTCGGACAGGTGCCAACTATCAAAATACAATGCAAACAGCGGCAATCGCTTGATCGGCACGCTGTTTGCGTTGGAGGAATCGCGTCAATTTCTTTGGTTGAACAAAAGAAAAATGACAGGTGTATGGTCAGCTTGCTTAGGACAATCACATAATGGGTGTATGGCCAGATTCAAGCTGGCAGATAGAAATCCACAATCACCACTAAAACCTGACTTTGCCCTAAACCAGGGATATTCTAAAACTTCAGACCTCCAACTAAAAAGTCCCATAAGGCATTGCAACACTGACAGTTACAGTCATGACTTGCAGAGGCATGTTGGGATTTGTAGTTAAAGCACTGCTGAAGGGCCTTATTTGCCAACCCCTGCCCAAGACCCTTCCTTGGTTGTAGGCACTGGGAAATAAGCAAGTTATCCAAAAAAACTTAATAGGAAGAAAGCAAGTCATCCAGAGCCGGGGGGGGCTGAAGTTTGGCTCCCCCCGTGCTAAACCATAGCAGAGAAAATGATGCCGCCATGTCTACTGCTTCTGCTGCCTAAGACAAGGTAACTGCACACCAGCACCCCTTTCAAATTCCTGCCATGAACACATGTTAATACATGGAGCATGAATGAGCAATGCCAAGTATTTTTGAAGCGTAAACTTTGCACATTTTTTCTTCTTCAAAACGTAGAAACATTTCACAAGTCATATTTATGGAAATTTCTGCTAATGAGCATTTTTGTGCATTGCCACAAGCTATAAAAAAAAAAAAAGGAGGCGAAGGCGCTTGGAAAATGCACAAATGTCTCAGCACCACATCTACTGAACAAAGCATGTTCCCACATCTAGAAGCAGCAACATGTCCGGGAAGGTTGATTGTATGAGCATGGCCATAAATGCAGGCATACGCAGGGGGTGCTAATAAAACCACAAGACATCAACAAGAAGAGTGATCGATCGCACCGCACAGATATCACAAATCCCTCCCTATGGTGGAAGCTGCACAAGCAGTATGCCGCGATTCTGCCC